CAAGTGCTCAGTGGTTCTCGTGTTCGAATAAGTCAACATAAATACTGGATTTAAGAGTTCAGTACTTTCAAACAGTTGATTTCAACTTTTGATTCAGCGTGTGATCATACATTTGGTGTGATCGTACATTTTGGGTCAAGTTTAGGTATATAGGATGAGTTCAAAATTTGAACTGGAGAGTGTAAAAAAAAAATGAAAAGTTAAACGTAATAACGCTAATATGTATTGTTAGTAAATGAAGTTAGTGTGTTTGTTCTCTAACAATCATAAGAAGGTGTATTATTTGTTGAGTGGCTCGAACAACCAGGTCATCATTCACCAACCCAAAAAAAAACAAAATGTTCAATTATTCACATATATGGTTTTCTGGTCCACTCTTTCTTCATGGAGGCAACGAATTTTGGCAACAGCCAAACCCAAAGGCATTTCACATTGTTGAATATTTGTTTATATTATGTTATATTATTATATGAATATTTTGTTGTCATTAATTTTGTATGAATAATTTGTTATTTTTATTTGTATTGTAATAATTATGTTAAATATATTTGGTGTAAAAAATAACGTTGTCAATGCAATGGCCAAAATACGTCATACGCTTCTGTTGGCACATGAAAACAAAAACGTCAAATTTCGTCTGCAAGAAAATGCACTCTTGCAGTTTGCAATAAGTTCATTGTTTGGCATGCATGGTCAACTGATATCGAAACATGACAAGGACATATAGTTAACATTATCATTGAAACGACTGGTACTGATCACATGATAAATCAGATTGATTTCTCACGTTTTGTAATTTCTCTGTGAAACACGTGTAATATTTTTATTTGTGTATGATTTTAGATAGTCCTTCCATACAATAACCATATTGTAAAACTGATAATGAAGGACATACATGATCGAAATATGCACTGCGGTGGTCAAGCACTGCTGGCATTGTATACGACTAATTACGTAGTTTTTTTTTTATATATAAATTTATTTTATTTGATTAAATAAATTTTATAAGAGTAACTAGCTAACAATATAATAAGCTAACAAACAATTTTAATCAACAATTATAAAGAATTTAATTAGAAATCACGCAAGTTCATTTATCACGCATTTCGGACAGGTTTAATCACGTAGTGAATTATGGAAAGTTGTAAAACCGCAATCATATTATGCGCAATGTATAAGTTTATACATTGTAAATCATAAATAAATACAATATAAGAACCTAGACGTTCCGCGTTCGGCGGATAGTATGAATGTAATGTCCACTCGGAATGTGAATTTTTAACGTTTGAAAATTTGTACTGAACGCAGCTTACAGCGTTCGGCGGATAGTATGAATGTTATGTACATTCGGAATGTAAATTTTAGCGTTTGAAAATTTGCACTGCACGCAGCTTACAGCGTTCGGCGGATAGTATGAATGTTATGTACACTCGGAATGTAAATCTTAGCGTTTGAAAATTTTTTCTACTCTGAAGTTAAAAACATATAAAAAGCTTAATAACCAAATCAATATTAAACCTAATAAGCAATTTAAATTAACTAAAGTTAAGATAGCTGTGAAATGCACTTTATAACAACAATTAAACAACAAGAAGGAAATTCATCTAAAAATCGGCCGGTAAAACCAGTGAGAGTTGTCGACTACCCTTCCTCTGGTACTTAAACGAGATACCCCAGGTATGATAGTTACAATGTATATCTAGATGATCTTGTAAAGTTACAGAAGTTGTCAAGAGAGTAAAAAATTTATTGGTGTTTTCCGTTCGTTGATCAGAAAACCATAAAACCATGTTATGGCGTGGTAACACAAGGTAACTGGATGACCAAATGATAATCCTTACTTGGAAAATTAAACGTAAATAAAAACAATAAATAAAAACACACAGTAGTTGACTGCGAAATTGTATATGGGCGGTTTGAATGTAAATTTTTCGTTCGCCGTCTACTGTTGCGTGTTATTTGTATCAGTAATAATTGCATAAAATTTTAAACAGATATATGCATATTTATAACTCAAATATTGTGTTGTGAAATATATTTTACTTTGAATTTTCTCTGAGTAGAATTTGTGGCACTTTAAATCTAAATCCAATATGTTTATTTTCATTAAGACGAAGTAAAAATGAAGACATTAAATTTGGTATCCAAAAAAAAATTTTAGCAGACATCTTACCGTTTTTTAATTATTTTTTTTTTTCAAAAAATGGCTTTACCAAGTTGTTGTGGAAAGTTTTCGTCTTCTCTTTTATGGAAATTCTTACATTAACCGTGTTGGGGACCTCTTTTACCACATAGGGACCTTCCCATATGGGTGCAAATTTATTCTTCCTCGATTGGTTCTTCAGGAGCACTTTCTCTCCTATTCTAAATTTTCTTTCCTTTTTATTTTTGTCATAATATTTTTTAGATGCTAATTTCGCCTTCTTCTGATTCTCTCTCACTAACTCATGAGAACGTTGAATTTGATATTTCAATATTTGAGAATAATCATCGAAATTGTAGATAGGTGACGGCTTTTTCCTCAGCGTTACTGGAATCTCTACATCGAAACCAAACAAAGTCCTGCTTGGTGTTTGCTTTGTAGTCATGTGTACCGTATTATTGTGCACATGCATGGCGTGGTGTAACCATTGATCCCAGTCTGCACCATCTAGGTCTACGAAATTTCTTAAAAACTCTGCCAGTGGTCTGTGGCTTCTTTCTAGAGACCCATTTGACTGGGGATGATACGGCGATGTACAGAGTTTCTTTACCCCTAATATCTTGCATGTTTCTTTGAAAAGTGCCGCGGTGAAATTAGAACCATTATCCGTCACCAGTATCCGCGGTATGTTGAACTTTGCAATTATTTCTTCGAAGAAGGCCCGCGCTACCGTTACTGCTTCAGCATCCGGTAGAGCGACACAAATCATATATTTGCTAAAGTCATCTTGGTAGGTTAGAATGCATCTACTACCCCGTGACGAATAAGGCAATGGGCCAACTGTGTCCATGTAAACCTTGTCAAACGGTCGTTGAGGCGTGTCCGTGATAAT